ATATATTCTTCTACTATTTCCAGTTTTGTGTTATTTATCAAAATTAGAGATAGCCTCTCTTAAATATCTAGATATTCTTTTTTTGTAATTATTGTGGCATTTCTTGAAATACCCGCAATATTTTAAGAAATGAATCAACTACAACAACGTGGACGGTTAAATAAAAATTGTACAAAGCTGTGTCTATGAATCGTACTCACATATGGTCAAAGGCTAAAGAAATGAAGTGGGGTAAGGGAGACGTATTTAAATTACTACTGTTTAGAAATGATAGGGACGATTTGATAATAGAGCTGGCAATATTACATGTCGTCATTGCAGAAAATTACCTCCTGTGTGCTTCGTGCATAATTTAGCTTAGTTTTGTATTCATATAAAGGTCTAAAATTCTGAAAACTACCAAGCTATGTTCGTTCAATTATTTAATAACTAGATAATTTGCTAGAAAAGGAGGTATAGTTTAGATTTCTTTAAAAACGAAGACAATTCAAATTGTTGTCTATTATATTTAAATTTGTATTTAAATCACAAAAATAGCTATACAGGGTGTCAAAAAATAGTGTATCTAACTTTGGTGTGTGATTCTACAGATAAAAATAAAACAAAAATGCCCTAAAATGCTTCCCGAAGAAGTTAGAGCCCTCGAAAAGTTAATTAAAAATAATATCTCTCCAAAAAAGTCTTATATGGTTTTTTCGCCATTGCAAGAAAATCTACAAAATAAAATAGTTATTTTTTGTAAACACTGCCGCGTTAATCCCACGGAGACTAATGGTCAGCAGTGGTCTACCAAGAAACAAATTTGCCTAACGAACAAAAAAATGCTTAAAGTTTTGGAAAGTTTATCCCTTTCCGTCATCGGAAGCAAAAAAATACAAAGAACAAAGAAAAAAACTGTTTAAATGCAACTATTCGAGAACAGTTTAGTTTTTTAAAAACAGATACGTCTACAAAAACCGTTGACGTTCTGTTAATCTGCTAAAATGACATTATATCAAGTTAAACTTCAAAATTAATAATTACTACCTTATAACAATTAGTTAATAAGGTAAAACCAAAAAGCTTCAAATTTTCTATTATGATTATTTTTAATTTGTTTGTAATTTTTACGTATGCGTTATATTTATTTATGTTATGTTCTTTAAAATCAAAGAAGCGATTGCCATATACATTACGCACATCTACAGATGTATGAGCAATACATTTATTTTTATTAGATTGTATTAAAATAGCCTCTTTTATTTTTCTTTTATAGGCTATCGCTTCTCTCATTATAATTTTGAAGTTGTTAAAATCTATAATAATTTTCTCTAAAAAAATCCTATATGGGTATTTCGCCACTGCTACATAGGATTTTTTTAGAGAGATGAACCCGCCACATTGGTATATACCAGTAGCGGCTCGTGACCCGTGGGTAGGCGACAAAATTTTAGTTGCATTTATTTGCCCCCCCCCCCCTTAATTTACATAATATTCTAGCCCACATTTTATGTAAATATATGTTATCTCTGGGTTAAAAAACATGACGTAATGATTGACATAATGTACAAGTATAGTTTTTATTAATCTATTTTATCTATTATATCTAATATTTCATAAAATAAAATTCGCAAAGATATTTGTCTTAGCCGTTTTTATTAACATATCGAATTGAAATGGCACAAAGACTTTTCTGTAATATCGGTTTTATCGTCTTCTTGCACCGAATTAAATAACGCGCTTTTTTATTTCGGATTCTTTTATTTCTGTGGCGTGTTCTGAAATACAACCGGTTATATCATTTTTAATAATTTCGGATAAGCCCGAAAAATGTTTCCAATTTGCTTTAAACGTTTTTTGATTTTTCATATAAAAGTTTTAAATGCTACGTATAATGAATCATATGAAATATCCCCTTAACGAAATGTGATATATCTCTTTATGAAATATCCGGAATATCCTCTTAACATCTAAGCCTACCGAGCCTCCACGACTTCATGCGTAGGTGACCGGAGATTTCGCCTAAGCCCCGCCTTAATATGATACAATTCCGACTTAGTCGCGTCGCTAACCGCACGATGGGTTAGACAGAGACAGAAGACTGCCGTACGTCGTGCATCGACTCTGATAGTAGGCGATGTAGAAATCGCCGAACAAAGGCACTAACAACGGCCAAAATTATTTTGTTTTCTAACGCAGCGGCACAGTCGGCGGTCACCATACGCCAGCGGTAGTGTTAATATACAAGACCACAAATATTAAAATAATATTGATTATTAAAACACACTTTCGTGTATTAACAGTATTTTTATGTATTGGCAACATTAAGAGTAAATTCTGCCAAAATCTTAGGGTAGGCGCCGCCTACCTTGCCTACCCTGACGAGCCGCCAATGGTACATACATTTTTTATAATTATTTTCTTAAAAATTATATATTTTGTTTATTCTTAAGAACATTGGTAAATGTTTGTTTTCTGAAATGTAGTACTCTTACACACATTTTAATGCAAAAGGGAATAGCGATTGTGAAAAATTCCGTAAGAGCTTTGAAAGGGCACTTTCCATTAGGGTAGAGAGTACTACTGGTGGTACTTCTTTTATCCTAATAGATACAGTAATCAAAAAATTATTAAAATTATTTTTAATCATCTGCTGATGATGCTGATATGGTTAAATCCAGTAACGTTGCAAGAGTTCTGTTTTATTTTTAAAAGAATCAAAACCTGTTTAGAAAACTAAATATTTTGGCTTCTCACAGCTTCACCAGGCCTTAAAATGCTTTAAATCTTCTTCACTACATTTATTTACGTCTATTTACCCTTTTTATTGATGGTTTTTACGTGACAAAACATATCTTCCCTTAAAAAAAGCACCATTTAAAAAAAACACCTCGTTGGTGGTATGTATTCATCGATTTTCTTATATATAGAACATAAAGCTAAGCATTCTTTTATAAGCCGCTTTAATCCTGGTGGTAAAAGATTTGAACGAGTATATGGGTATAGAAGGATATAATACCTTGTTAATTTATTATAATCTCGGACAACTGACAGCTGTGACATCTCCCACAGGATCAGTTCAGTCAGAGTTAAGTTAAAGTCATATACCATACGCTCGAAAAAAAAAACGGCGTCAAAGACGGCTGGGAATGACAATTGATGATAATTTTGGCGAGGTCAAGCCCTGGGCGTCACGTGCTTAGCCTAGACTCTTCTTTATTTTTTTAAAGGCCAGTTAGCCTTAAGAAAGTTGAGTAAAATAATTTTTAAATTTATATATTATTTTATATTACAGTATATTATTTTTTATTTTTGAATATTTAATGCTATCATGAAATATTTTTTATTCTTCGATATATGCCTTATCACAATTTTACGGGATATGATTATCCGATTCTTGTTAATTATAAAATATTTAGATTTCGATATAGGTAGTTAACTTAATTTAGCAAAGTTACGTTTTTAGTTACTAACACTTTAAAAAAAATGTATTTTCTTTGAAATATATAAAATATTAATATATCTTTTAGAGTTTTTTTATTTTTATTTTTTTTATATGAAAATATGTATTAAATTTTAAAATTCTTCAACAACTTTGTTCCTAGATTTTTCTATTTGTTGTTATTATTACAAAGTTTAGATCTTTTGTTAACGAATTCATATATTATACCTATCTATGTATAACTACCTTGTTTGGTAGTACCAGGATTGAACCTTTTTATGCAATTTATCGGAGGATTAGTTAATATTCTAAGACACACAATATTGAATTATTGATAAGAATTTTAAATATAGATCACACCAAATAAAGTCTTAGTCACGTGGCAAATTTGGCAAAAACTAGTCCATTATGAAGATTATTCTAAGCGATATTATGGGTTATTTATTTATTTATTAATTTACAACTTATAACACCACAAGTGGTAATAACAAGTAAGAAAATTTCATATATGCACAAACTAATAATCACAGAATTTACTAAAAATTACTATAGAAATAACTTTGAAAGTGGTATAATGTGCTTACCAATCAAACTTGGAATGAATTTCAATTCTCTGAATGCAATCAAGGGCAATAAAACACCTTTATTGTCACGTTTTATTTCAAAATAGTTTATCAAGGAAGCTAGAAGCTCTTTGCTTTGACTGTTTAAATGCTTCGGCATATTTTCAATGCATAATTTCAAGAAATGCAATACAAAAACTTGAAAATTTAGTTCTTAAAAGAACTGTTTGTAAACTTAAAAATACAATTAAGAAAAAATACTATGAAAATAGGCAAAAAAACAGAATTACTCACAAAGATTCAACAACAACAAAATATTATACAAAATAATTACTGACATTATGATAATTGTCAAATAATAAACGACAACGTTGCTGAACATGGCGCAATGTGACCAATATAGCGATAATAAAATTCGGTTCCAACTAATTTTTGCAGCTTTAATCTAAATAAAATAACTGTTACATTACATCATTTGCCCTATAAAGTACAATGAATAAAAATGATAATGTAATAATAAAATAAAATGATAATTAGTGTTTTATTTACATTCATAAATAATTCTCATCAAGGTTCCTATACCTACATGTCAACACACTTCTCGACAAAGACCAAAAAACAAACAACCCAAGCCATTCCAATCCACAATTTTCGATTTTTCTTCTTCCTAGAGCTACTATCACATCCATCCTCTTTCTCATACAAGAGTGGGCGGCATTGAACCTCCTGCCACAGTGGCAGCATCGGCGGCAGCAGCGTTCCCTGCCACTCGATATCAATCGGCCTCCCTGCTGTCCACATGCCACGTCGCCACCGTAACCGCGACCGCTGATTGATGGCCTCGCCCCATACCGCGCCGCCCGTCGAATCGACCACACACATTCCCCTAGGTCCCGCCCACAACACCCAATCGAAACGTCGCACCCCTCCTTTAACTCCTAGACCCCGCCCATAGGGAACGGGTCCCGTAGTGCCGGTGAACGCGGAGGGGTCAGTATATCCGTATATTCCGTGCGTATAACGTTTGATATAGGTTGGAGAAGAGACTTTTCAGTGGTTTTGGTGTGAGTTTGTGGACAGATAGTATTGAGTAGTGACAGTTATGTTGTTGGGCGCGATGCCGGAAGAGGTGATTGTGGCCGCGACGGGTAAGAGCCAGAGGGCCACGGACTTTTCTATTGCGGCTATTATGGCGAAAAATGAGAATGCGACGGATCGTGAGGATAGTGTGTTGGAGGGTAAAGAAATAGGAAATGAGGGTAAGTAACCCCAAAAAATAATGCTATAAACGTTTTTACGGTGAATTTATTTTGAATAATGCTGCAAATTTCATAAATCAACTAGTAACTCTGGATGTAAGTTTTTGCTAGGTGGATGTGTATTGTAATATGTCAAAAGGCAGTACAAAAATCTGCTTTACTTTATATATACCTTATTATAAAGATATTATTCTCTTTCATTGAAAATAATTATTGGCTACTCTGCCACTAGTTGAAAATCTACAAAATAAAAAGGTATTTTTTTTCAAACACAATTGCGTTAATCCAAATTGTTAGTGGTATTTTACTAGTAAAAGAAATTTTTTTGGCTGACAAAAAATGCTTGACTATTTAGGAGGTATATCTTCCCATCGTCCTTATTCCTCAGAAGCAAAAAGAACAAAGAAAAAACTATATAAAATATATAAATACTTCTATTCAATAACACTTTAGTTTTTCGCAGAGTTGGATATTGAAATTTTCATAAATCAACCACTAAAACACTTTTTTAAACTCTGAATTCTCTCTTTTTGTTACAAGGTTAGGTACAAGATCTATTGTACTAATTTGTGTTTCATAATGTAACACCAAATATTCTAACTTAAAATGTAGCTATACTTGAATGATGTGTTTTTCCTGAATTTTGTGTTATAATGTTCTTCTAAGTATCCAGTCAAAAAATTATCGGTTTTAATTTGTCAAAAAAAAACAACATTAAAATTAACAGATAAAACAGATTTGAATTAAGTATATATTTCAAAAATTTAAATACTTTTAATGGGGTACCATACAACTATGTATATAAAATTAAAGAAACGGTTCAAGTTTTTCTATTTGCCGCTAAAAATATTAATAAAATTTCAAGACAATTTAATTTTACAGAGAATGTTTAGAATTGTTATGTACTTTTAGAATAATATGTGTAGCAATGTGAATATGTGTGCAAAACCGTTTCATAGATCTGACTGAATAATACAATTTTCTATATCAGTACTTTTAAAATACATTCGTAAGATGTGAAATTAGTGAATCTATACATGTGTGCAAAATGTTATATTCTTTAAATATATGTATGTCTCCGTTTAGTCTGAAATGTTAGTAATTTTAAGGGAGTACAAATCCCTGTTTACAGTGATTTTGTTTAAAATTAAAAAGAAATATAATAGTCCAAGTTTCTGTATTTACTTATTATTAAATTATTATTTTAGTCATCATTTATCAAAGTATGATTCACCGTTTCTCACATATTAAATATTAACTCCATCTAATAATGCCCACCTAAAATCATTTATATTAGCAAGGATTTAAATATAATTATTCGGTAGGTAGTAAGTACCCTATGATCGGAAAAAACAGCGTCAGCGATGGCTATGAAAGAAGATCGCTGTCATTTTATATGTAAAATTATATGGGAAATGTCGTCGATCGTCAACTGAACGCCGTATTTTTTCGATCATACGGTATAAAGGCAATTATGCATTTAGTTTTCCATATCCAAATATTAGGTTTAGTTTTCAAAATATATGGAGACATTTTCATATTACTTAAATGACTTTTTAGGCATACCTACTGATAGATCAATAATTTTTTAGCCTATAGTAACTCCGATTGATTAACTTAATTTAATTTGGCATAATTTGTACATTGGTTAATAATTGGCATCTCTTTTACTCTGAATCATTATTTTGTATAATAAGAGAATTATTATATTTTCGGACTTGTTTGATTAGATAAATAACACTAACTCTTTAAATTAGATATTGATTTCTCATTGCTTCAAAATATTTTAAACACTAAATGAAAGTCTAGTCGTAGCAACTATTTTATTTATTTCTGAATACTGCAAATACTGAAATTTAAAAATTGATGCATTCAGTGTCTAGAGAATACTCTTCAAAGTGGAATTAACTAGATAAGATAATACCATTAAAAGGGGAACAAATAACTAACTCTATTTCTAATATTTTTTCCTTTCGTGTTCTTTATACTTTAAAAGTATAATTTCATTGCATAGTCTATCATAAAGCACACCTTTACATATTTGACTTTTTGGTTTTAAAGTAATAAGCATGGTATTTTTAGGGTTCCGTACCCAAAGGGTAAAAATGGGAACCCTATTACTAAGACTTCGCTGTCCGTCCGTCGGTCTGTCTGTCACAAAGGTCTATCTTATGAACCGTTATAGCTAGACAGTTGGCATTTTCACAGATAATGTATCTATGTTGCCGCTATAAGAACAAATACTAAAAACAGCATTAAATAAACGTTTATAAATAAAAAAAGTACTTTCACTAAACATTATCTTTTAAGTAAGAATGTTACATAGAATCTTTTAAGCCCTCGGTGGCCGCGTGGTTAAAGCGTTAGGACTTTACGCTGCTATGACGTTGGAGCCGTAGGCATGTTCGAATCCTAGTCAAGGCAACTTTTTTTTAATCGTTTTTTTTTAATTTTTACATATTTTTACACATTTATTTATACTTTTTACATATTAATTATTGATTAATACAGTTTTTAGTAATGCGTTTCTTCATTTCTTTTTAAATTACTTATACGCGCATTCAAAATTTCAGCTAAATCAGAAAAAAAAAGTTTATAATAATACAGTGTCTAGTGTTGTATTCGCGCGCGAGTCCGACTCGCACTTGATTTAAATATATTTTTTTAAATTCTAAAACTAATCTTAATGTTTGTGCCCTGTAGCCTCGTTATATTTCATTACAGCATTCCACAGCGTGGATATCCCAAAGTATTCTGCAACAAATTCAAACTTTATGTCAGTATACAGACACTGTTTCCACCAAATAAATGATTATGTATCCAAAACATACATAAACTGATTAAAAAAATAAGAAATTGTAAGAAGATATAATAAAAGTTGATTAGTTGATTTACTTGGTTATTTCTTTAGTTCTAAATCGTTATTTTCGAAATTTAAATAAATCCACGAGACAAACAATAAGAGAATTAGTTATTTTAATCGTCACCTGTCAAAATATGACTCCCCATTCCCAACCATCACTCCCAATTAATGTTACCACTCTCAAATCATTTGTTATTTGCCCAGAACACAATGTATCTCCAGCGACGGAACCAACTCTATCGTCACAGACATCTTGTAAACATACCTCCGTATAAATGGTACCGTAAATCATCTCGCATACCTCTCTGGTCGTACCCTTCGACCATGGGTCCCGACCGGGATCATTTACCAAACGTTTCTAGAGAAAGAGAGATGGTATCTGGGCAGTAACTTGCACAGGCTCGTGTTCGGAGTGGATCAGATTACCTAATTTGAGCGTTTAGGTGGTCTGAAGTAAGTTTTTTTTTCTCTGGGGTTCGTATGTCTGATGATCGGATGAAGAAGGTGGCGCCTAGGTGTCACTGGGTTTATGTCAACTGGAATAGTTGGAATGTTTCAGATTTAGGGTTAAACTAGAAATAATGTGATATCTGTTTTAATAAGGTTGGTTTTAGCATAGTATAAGGAAACTAGTAGCTTTACTCCTTGTCAAATCCTTTGTTCTTTTTCTGCCACTTTATATGACCTTGTTCTCGCGTCCCGTGATCACTGACGTAGCTGTATAGTCGTGGTCTATAACTAGGCAAAGTATTGTCGTGGCACTTGCCATAGTTTCACAGAGATGTATTTAAGAAAATACTATCAGTTCACAATAAAATAAATTGATTATCGAGTAAAAATTTGTTTGAAAACAGAATATTTTCACATTTCGTGTAAGTAACAATTCTATATCTGAAAATCTTCTGATAAGAAGAAATGCGGAAAAATATATAGACATATTTTTATATTATTATCTATTTCAAAGATTTTCTACAACTTTTTAGCCGACCATACCAACAGGTATGGTAAGCTATTAAGATCGGCAAAAAAAGTTTTTTAATTTCACTCAAAATGAGTTATTTGGATCATAAATGACCTAAATACAAAATATTTTCATGGTCTGTCTGTCTGTCTGTCTGCCGTCTGTAACACGATAACTCAAAAACCGCTGAACCGATTTTAACCAAATTTGGCACAAAAATACTGTGGCACCCGAGAATCTGGCCATTAGTTTTTGGTGGGGGTGGGGGGTTGGTAAGGGGGTATGGGAGGGGGTTAAAAATTAAAAAAAAACCGTAACTTCAAAATTACAGTAGCTAGTAGCGAAACGCGGTTTTCAATTTAAAATTAGGAATAATATTTGCAACAAAATTTGTAATAACATCAAAATCAGTCAAAGTCGCAGTTTTTTAGATATTCCGTGTTTCCGTAGTCCGTTTTTGAGAAAATCGTGTAGAGAACTCCAAACTCCCATCGGACGCGACTCCAGGTGGCGGATAGGGGAAATAACCGCGGACCAAGATTGAAAAAATTCGTTTACTTTGAAACTAAAAGAACTGCCTACTAACTTTTTATTAACATATTTTAGTATGGGCGGCTATACGTTCCTCCCAGCGCCATTTTTTTTAATTTAAAGAAAAAAGAGTTAAAAGTAGTAATAAGAGTTAAAGTATTACTCTTCCCCAACTCAGTGTGTATTCTATAATGTCCATAATTTGGGGTTTGTATTTCGTTTAATGTTTTGTCAATAAAAAGATGTTGGATAGCCATTTTTTATTGATAATAATTGTGGTTTATTCTCTTTTATTATTTCTCTCTGTTTGAACATAATTATTTTTGCCCTATCATATAAACTTTTTATAAACGCTTTTTTACATTTATACTGTGATTAGATAAATAATCTGAATCTGAAAATTTTGAGAATTACCACTACAGTTCTTCGCTATTTTCGTATAAATAAAAATATTTTCGTAAATCAAGCACATTTAACTATTTTGGAGATTTTCTGATAGAAATAAAACTACATCGTGATTGTAGGGTTTATTACAATTTATTTTTTCCGTGTGAATACAAAAATACTCTAAAGAAATTAGAATGGTCCGTTATTATATCTATGTATCTATAGAAATTTTCGTTTTAATTGCAATATATCTCTTTCCAGGCCCTCTTCCTACTTTCGTAGGCCCTCCCTCCGACTTAGACCCTCTTGACGATGACGAAATCGAAGTAGACGTGGAGGAATGCTCAGACACAGAGTCTCCCAGGCCTCCCAAGCAGGCCAAACTATCCCGCCGATCGCCCACAGTCTCAGATTGCGGATCAGAATTGGCTGATCCCGACAGAGACAGTCCGGACATAGTTCCGGACAAAACGCCAACTACGACACCAAAAAAACCGAAAATTCTTTGTAACTGCGAGGAGTTACTGGGCGTGGAGTGTCACTTGGAGACGAAGGATCTGTGGGATAAGTTTCACGATTTGGGGACGGAGATGATTATCACAAAGACCGGGAGGTAAGCGATTAAATTATATTTTTTATTTAAAATTGAAAATGGTGAGGTTGGAATAGAGGAACTAGATTCCTCTAAGTCCATAAATAGAGAACAGGTGTTTTATAGTGAAAAAGAAGGTTTGCTGTTAATTTTAAAAGAAGTTATTTTGCTAAAATTGAAAATGGTGGAGTGCGAGTAGTGGAACTAGATTCCTCTAAGTCTATAATCGAAGAACGTGTGTTTTGTAGTGAAAAAATTGTTACCCTTAAAGAAATATGTTGCTTAAAAATTACGATTTTGTGAAAATTGAAAACGGTGGGGTACGGGTAGTGGGATTAGATTTCTCTAAGTCTGTAAATGAGGAACAGGTGTTTTTCAATATAAAGAACGTTTCCATTAAAGGAATATTATTTACAAAAATTATAATTTTTGTTAAAATATACTAAAATGAGTTAAATGAGTTAGTTAATGTTTTTTGTGTCTCTAGTATTCAAAACAAATTCATTTCAAAACTATAGCTTGGTGTGAACCATTTTAAGCGTTCACGCTCTGCTATAGCTTACATAACAGCCTATAATATTTCGGGGTTATCTACGCACTTTTTGTATATTTACACTACATGTCCCAAAGTCGTACCGCACCGTATGGGCGTATTTATACAACGTGTTCTCCAATGAAACGCGTGGCGGTACCTCAGACCGAAAACATAAATATGTCCCCCAGTTTACGCTTCGTTGTTTTCATAAATCACGTTATATATTAATAATAATAATGGGACGCGTATGTTTATGGGTAATTACAACACAGAAGAAAAGAAATAGGAGTGTGGAGACCAATTTTATCACATTTTCTTTTGGGTAACGTAAATATTTACGTTATTCACGTGTAAAAATGCGAGTTTAGGAAACGAGTAAAGTTATAGAATCATTTTGGTGCATATTGTGAAATTTAATGACAGAAAATTGTATAAGACTTATATAAAATATATATTTTTATTTTTTCCATAGCAACTGTTAAACCTGCCTTATATCTATCAAAAATAGTAGATAAAATAGTACTTTAACCGCAAGTGTAGATTAAATGATACTTTAACAGCGAGGATAGGTTAAAAACTTTATTTATTCTCGCACGTTTTTTAATTGCTTGCATTTTTGAAAAAAACATTATGAGCCTGAATACCTATATGTTGGTAATTTACTTATTTCGTTTTGAGCCATCTCTGGCTTCAATTCAATCAGCAATCGACACGAAAGAAAATTAAAAAATATTGACTCAAAACTGACAACTAAAGAGACAGCTTTATTTATTTGTCAAATTACAAAGAAACCAACGCCAACCCAGCACAATATTTTTTCTACTCGTAATAAATTTCTTGAAATAATAATTTCTGAATATTTTTTAAAACGTAACTCGCTATGGAAAAAAATATTGTTTTATACACGACGATAAAATTGCATTCATCGTTTGTGAATTAATCTATTCGGTCGATGATAAAATACTATTTTATCGTCTTGTATAAAAAATAACTATTAGTTATCGTGAAAATATCGTTCACCGATGTTGGAAAAAAATTTGGTAAAGTTTAAGCTCTTAATATTAATATTAAGAGGCATCTCATGGTGATTTTCTATTTCCCATTTAAATGACACACGCGATTTTTTTTTAATTTTATTGCTTTCTAACCCATCAGCGTGTAGTTGTAAACATCAACACATGCTCTTGTAGGAAATTGAATGATTTTCAAAAAAGGTCTGATATGATTTTTCATTTCATTTAATCGACTCGTTTGAAAGTTATTGAAGGTGTAGCAGATTTAGTTAAGAAAAAAATTATCACCTAAAAAGCTATACTGTCCCTTGTGTACGGTAGCTTTTCATTAACAAAGCAGTCATGGGTTCGTTTGTATTTCACTGGAGGAAACCAAATTACACTAGAACTAAAAGTGTTTGGCGCCAGGCAAGATACAAAAAAAACACAGTAGTAGTTGAAAATAAATGACACTGTAAATGTCTGAAATGCATTTCGAGGTGGTTAGCGTGGTTATTTGGGGGGTGTTAATTCATTGGAAATCCTATAGGTTTAGCGCGCTTATCCTAGGTTTTACTGCGCTTATCCTAGGTTTTACCGCATTTCGGACATTTACAGTAACAACTATATTGAATCAAGGATGATTCCTAATTATTACCAGTAACGATAATTAATAATTATTGTGTTCAATAGATAAAAAATTGCTGAAGTTATCATATAAGATTTGATTTGGTTTAGACTAGTCGATTAAATGAAGAATCATATCAGACCTTTTTTGAAGACCGTTCAGTTTCCTACAAGAATATGTACCGATTTTTACAATACGCTGATTTGTTAGAACGCCCTAAAATTCCAAAAAAAATCCCGTGTTATTTATAAGAGTCCATTTCACTAGTCCGAGAAAGTAACAAAATAAGTGTTCGGCATTTAAAGTTTTATGTAAAACTGGCTAGGTATTTTTACACAAATTAAGAAAGAAATTAAAGATAAAGGATTTTACTATATTCGTATTGTAGCACATTTTTAGACAACTTCTTTATTTTTAAGATTTTGATGGTCAAATATCAAAAAAATATTCCTTATGTTTGGAATAAATTTTCTCGAAAATAAAGACATAATTTAAAATTCCGTTACAATACGGAAATAGATTGAAGTTGTGTGATTACAGTGATATATAATTCATATGGTTTTGTAACAAATTGCTCGTTATTGTATGGCAAATGCTGAAGCTCTGCAAACCTTAATCAAAGCACGTATGTTTGGAATTTTGGGTATGGCTTAACACGACAGGATCGGGTTAAGCCTTAAGGATAATTCTCGCTATACCGAGACGAGTCTGAGCCGTGCGTCGGTGAAGACACGGCCAAACATTGTCAAGTGTTATTTACACATATACATTCATGCCATGCCGAGCACGATCCGAGCTTCGCCGGAACTCGTCCGTGCTCCGTCACAGAAATGTCGGTGTACATTTTTTCTCGGATCCGCTTCGTTCCCGCCATGTTGTGGAAAGCATGTATGTAGTTTTCCTGGTGCCCCGACTGCAATCTGCAGTCATGATATAAACAAAGTACGCTTTTTATCATGTCTGTAGTAGGTAGTGAATCTTACAGCAGTATTTGATGACAGGGAATGCATAAAACTGGACAATGAAAGGATGTAATGAAGAAGATAGGTCCTTCGTCTTGCCCTTTGAGTAGGTGTTGTTCTTTCTTCATCAACTGTAATTGGTACCAATTCCACTTGCGAGAACTTTGGCATTGTTCGTATTAAATCTTCGTGTGTCTATGGGGCTGTGTTTTATAATATACTCAGAACTAATACGAGCCCCGTTATCAACTCGGTGTTGCATAAACAGAAGGCTCGGACGCGGCTCGGTGTCTACTTCACGGAACGTGCCCGGCTCAGACACGGTCCGGTGTACTGTGAATCATTCTTTAGGCAAATTTCTGAAATATAATATATATTTCCTTCAGCGACACACCCGCTTTACCCGACCCCTGAGAGCGACCCGAACAGTACAGCGTAATAGACTCTTAAATGTGAACTAGAAAATCACAATGAGACACCTCTCTCTCTTAATATTAATATTAACATCTCAAACTTTACCAGATTTTTTTTTAAGAAAATACATATTCTATATCTAGTAGGCATTTCAAATATTTTCAGCATTTCAGCATTTTGTAACTGATATCTCAAATACTTAGCTTAAAAGTACCTTGTAACTTGTATTTCAGATACTTTTTATGAGGTATCTTGTATATCTCTACTCACTACCTTCTCTAGAATTTTTTTAGTAATGTGACGTAATAAACTATTATTTTCCTACATATTTTACTACCTATTTTACTACTGGCCAACCCTGGCGAGAAGACATCTTATATCATCCAATTTTTTTCTCCGATAAACCTAAATATTTACGTTGGTCCCGTGCAACACAACGTACGCACGAACGTGTGTATGTATAAACATACGCCCACCGAAACGCGTGTGTGAACCATTATTTATAACCTTCTAACAGAAAAATCGACGTAAAATTTGAAAAACTGGAAAATTTCTGTATAGGGGGGCCTTCGAAGGAGTGAAAAAAATGAATTTATTGTGTTTTAGTCTTGTAATTAATGGTTAATTTCTAACACAGTTAATGTTTCATTAAAACCTATTTTTTCTTTTAATATTGTAAATAAAAATAATATTTTTACCTAGGTTTATATAAGTTCAAGATGAAAATGATTACATTTTTATTCAACAGAATCCAGGAAAATATAGTGTTAAGTTCGATACGAACATCATAACGAAACGGGTGTAACGTTAAGCCACGAGGCGTTAGCCGAGTGGCTTAGTTACACAAGTTTCATTAAAAAGTTCGTATCGAACGTGTATCATTCAAAATTTAATCTACGACGCGACACGAGGGACGATCCAAAGAGATTTGATTTAATTTAAAATATCAGAGATATCCTCATAAAAATTAAAATTCAAAATTATCAGGTGCCCATATTAGTCCACACCGTGGTAACCGTGCTTGTTGATTCTTTCTATTTTGACTTTGACAACTCAATTATTGATGTTCAATTTTGTGTTAAACGTTCAGTTTTAGCAAAAAGCAAAAAATAATATTAATATGGGTGATTCTGATTCTGAAAGTGTCCTTTCGGATAATGAAGGCATTGCGCAAAACGTTGTCGATTCCCTACTTCCCTAAAAGACAAACGTACGAGAAAGCCTATGTAAAACTTGAAGATTGGTGTAAAGGGAAAGGAATCAAGAATAGTAGTAAGGAAAAGGTTCCCCTAGCATATTTTGAACATCTTTCAAAACATAGGAAGGCTTCATCGCTTTGGGTATATTATTCCATGCTACGTTCAGTTATATGAAGGAAGAAAAATACAGATATTAGTAAGTACGTCCATTTAATTGCATTTCTAAAAAGAAAATCTGAAGGATTTCGGTCAAAAAAATCGAGAATTTTAAGAAAAGAAGACATAACTCGT